CGGTTAACCTTTGGTTCGATAGCCACTCGACTTGATAGTAGCCTTCAGGTATCGCGAAATCGACTCCACAGCGCTACGGTTGAGGTCCGAACTTTAGCTCGGTCACTTTATCTCCAAGATGTCATTCGTTGGGTGCTCCAGCCAGTTCCTTGTGCATGACTCAATGTATGCTTGGTTTGTAAAGTTATTATTGTGTCCCGGAAGTCTCTTGAGTTTTTATCAGGAATCGCAACTATCGGCGCCTGGTGGCGAAGTATGTACATCGGATTGCGCAGTGGTCGAATACTGCGACCAATTGTTCAGGTGTGCTGCTGCTACGGGGGGGGGGTGGGATAAATATAACTCAACGGTGGCACGTACGCAGCGGTGGCGAGCGATGGAGCGCCAAGAGACTCACGCGATCTTCTATTGCGCTTTGTTACGAACGCTGCTCAATTGTTTGTTAATTGATCCTCACACATTCTGTTATGAAATTATTGTCTGTAGGAGCACTTTCAATTATTCCAAGAGGAAATGTAAGAGAACATAGAGTACTTCTCTACAAGATATTATGAAAGATGGTGAATCCCAGCAAGAAAAACATGAAAAAAAATGGCGTTGGTTTCTCTCTAGCCACTAGAGGAGGTTTTATGGGATGCGACCATGTCGCTACTTTGCAGTGAAGAAGAGATGAACATTATGCGTTCCCTGGATTTCTTAAAGGTTATTGAGCCTATGGAAAAGTTGATGCGTTTCCCATTGTATCCACCTTGATGTCGTAAGCGCACAGTACGATGCGCCCCTCGATAAGAAGACTTTTTGATGAGTGTAGCGTTTAGGCCTTGACCCGGTGAAGGGGAGTGCGGACGGCTAAAGACGGGTCATGTATGAAGAGGCGGTCAACCACACCACCCCCACCTCACATGGTCTGTCCATTGGCACGTTTTTCTACAGAGATGCGGTGGTTGACGATCTTTCTGCTCCCAATAGCAAGTTTCGCATATTGCCCCGAGATTTTCAAGAATCAGGTGAGAATGACATCACATTTATTCAAGTACGAATATCAACACTTGCTTCGTTTTGATTTATTGCTCAGAGTCTCTTGAATTACAGACCGCATGTTCATGTTCTGATAACCTCGACGGATCCGTAATTCGTTGCACTGGGCAAGAAGGTCCAGTGATGGTGGAGCAGTTAAAAAATTTACATCTTGAGATTCGCGAACTCAGCCTAGAAAATGCAAATATTGTTGAGGTTGTGATACTGAACATTATATTTCACATTCATTGTATCATCAATACTCCAATTTGCAACTGCCTTGTTAAGATCGGGCCTCGAGCATTCAAGAATCTCCGGATAAGAAAACTGATTCTGGACAAGAATAGAATAAAAAAATTGCATAAGGATGCATTGCGAGGACTAGAAAACGTACTACAAGAATTATCGCTCGCACAGAACAAACTTACTGAGGTAAGTTCATGAAAGCAGTGCTCATACACGAAAGAGCTCTTGTGGAATTCGTTGGATTGACCCTATCTGAAATTCGTTAGATTGACCCTATCTGAATGTCCTACTTCAGCCCTCTGGAAAATTATGAGTACAACATTTGTTCAAAACAGCTTTTGGTTGCGACTCTATGTAGACATTATCCCTACAAACGAGAGGGCATGTGAAGGACCTGGATTGGAGCGCAGCTAGGGCAGATTTTTCCACCGAAGGTTGCATTATTGCACCAATGGTGGAGAACGCCCCCTGGCTGCACTCGAGCGCCTTCTGTTTACAGGGGTAATGACTGTAAACAGTCTGCAGCTTAAAAAGCCGATGAGGACGAAAGACTGTTGCTGTTTGCAGAAGGCAGAACTGAGCTGTTGAAGGAAATATTTGCATCAATACCTACTGCTCCTTATCGGCGCACTGCTTCTCATTTTTTTCTTTCATTTCTTATTTTTTCCATAGTGACTGTTTCAGGTCCCTAATGATGCCCTTGCTGGAATGCAAGCTCTCAGCGTTCTCAACCTCAAATGCAACAAAATTGGCAATCTCACCAAGCCTGCCTTCCAAAAACTGAGCTCGCTTATCGACATCAATCTGTCGTGCAATGAAGTTCGTGGCATCAAAGAAGTCAAAAAGAGCGCATAATGATCTGCTTAAGGTTTGCGATGTTTCCTCAGATGTGTTCGACGGGGTGCGAAGCACCTTGCAAAATCTAATTCTGGACACGAACTGCCTGATAAAGTTTCCGGCCGAATCCGTCAAGAATATGGACGCTCTCATCGCTCTTCATTTGAAAGGCAACAAGGTAATAGCGATAGTGTTCTCTGTGGTTCTCTAAAATTACAGTGAATTGAAAACTAATTCGTTGCTGAGCTGCAAAGTTATAATGGTAGGGCGATCGAAAATATTTCTAGTGGTAGGGATGCAACCAGAAATACTTGTGTTATGTCAATCTATATTTTCCAGATATTTGTTATCGCCATACCTTTCGCATATCGTCTATCCCAATAACTTCCAAACTACTTAGCTGTCATTCTACAGTACCTACCAAAAAAAACCAGATCGCTATTCTTCGTCGGGGGGAAGGGGAGGTACACTTTTTTTAATTTCATGTCAACCAACATACTTGAAAGTGACACGAACGATGTGATAGGCAGAGAGAGGATACCAGTTACATTTTGAGTGCCCGCGTAGCAAGGAACGGTTGAACACAGCAATAAAAGGTATAAGTTTGGCGCTAACCAGCACCTGTGGAAGACGTGATGCATTTAGCCTACTTTCTGTAAGTACGAGTGTCAAAACGATCTCTTCAGTTGTAAACCGCTTCTGTTGTTACCAGACACTTTGAAAAGAGGATCTTGTGGGGTCAAGTGCAGGGTCAAACCTACGTCCGTGGAGGGTTCATTCAACCATTTTCCGGAGGTGGTTGTGTGTGCAGAGGTCATCACACTGAACACAGCAGCGACGCAGCTTGCAGGATGAATGATGGAAGCAGAGTTTGCGTGCTGATCATGTAGAATAAACAAACCAGGGAAAAAACTCAGCAGCCACGTTTCTTTCAGTAAGTCGAACTGCTCCGTCTTTCAACCCTTGCCCTCACAATCTTGCAGAAGTGCCAAGAGCTCCAAGGAACAACGGTCGCAACAGGTGGCTGGAAGAGTTGTTTCATAGGTCCAGGGCAACTGTTGTTGCCGTTTGTGAGGGAAGTCGAGTGTATGACGTTTTGAGTGCATGACGTACTCCATGGTCGTGTTGATCAGCGCCTTTGTGGACTAATTCCTATTTGACACATGAGTAGGCGGTGTACTGGAAGCCCACGGGGCTTCCTAGATGGAATTCTGGGTTTTATAGGGGGAGATCCTCATACAGCTGCTGAAGCTGACTTTCGTAGAGACATTCCTGACGGACGAGTCATCGCTATAGGTGAGCTACAGCTATAATTCGCCCCTCGCGGATTTCGCTCTAGAAGATGTTGTGCTAATTAGAAACAAAAAACCTTGCAGTTTCCAAAACCCATGTAGGTTTTCTCTCAGGTTATGTCAGAATAAAGTTTAGACCTCTGAAATGTAGAAAGCTCACGTTCGCTGAGATTTTCTGGTCAGAAGTTGCCGTGCAAACTTGATGAAAAAGTATTCTGCATAGATCCTACCAATATAACATGAGTGGTCCTTATCGCGCTGCGAAAGATGATTTTCACAGAAATACAATGTGATTGCAGCGAGCCAATAGCGCTTCAGTCTCAATACGCGACCCTCTACGCTCAATGCCTTGGCTTCTCCTTTGGACATACGTTTTATTTATCACTGCGTCCTACGATCTGGGTTTCTAAAACGGTTTTCTGTGTTGGGCATTCATTAATTCTGTTTTTCTTCTTTCCATCTTGTGTTCCCTGAGTCTCCATTAAATCGCTTGCTCTTTTTTCGGCCTGGTTCTTCTCTTTCTATTCTTTGTTTATTCGGAATGATATGGTTTTTGAAAATCTGCATGGATTTGCTTTCTGGACAGCTGCTGAGAGAGTGAATGGCAGAGTCGTTCAGACACCTCTCTTTGAAGGGAAGGGGGTCGTACCAACCCTCTCCCCCACACAATTTTTCGCGGCGTGATGATTGATCCTGGATCCCTGAGATCGGGTAGGCGTGGCCGCATGTTTCAACTTATCCCTTAAGGCGTTTACGCTTCTGATGCGATATTTTCATCTCGACACAATCGTTGTCGTGTCTCTGTCCAACACAGAACAAGATGACAGTTGTCCCAGACTGGAATATTCCACTAGTAACCAGTTCTTTACAGTGTTCGAATGCTCCGCCTACCCGATCTCAGGGATTTCGAGTATAAGTGCACTCTCGCGGTCATGCACGATACGATGTGTACTGTGGCCATGCCGAACTCACTTGGTCAATGGCTGTTTATTGCTAGAAATTGAGATGTTACAACAGTCCCAGTTTTTCTCGTTTAACTCCAGATGCCTCTGCCTCTGCTTCGAGAATTAACATTACTGCCACTAGATCTCCGTATTCAACAGCCGACCCAGAAGAGCATTAATGTCCAATAAACACGTCGATGTGTTTCCGTAACGTAACGTAAACGTCGACGTCCTAGCTCAGAGACTACATTGGCCTGTGACAAAATGTCCCGATCGCAATCAGCCGCACCGAGCTATATATGGCCAACAAAATGAAACTGGTATCATTTCGTTGCGTGTCATATCATTCGCATCTTTGGACATGAATTCACAAAAAGTGCCCCTCCCGGGGGTGATGGGGGAGCCGAAACCCAGAACGAACTAGATCATAGGTATATTCACCGTATTTAATGAACTCTGGTTCAAAACTAGCAGTGTCAAGAACGCAATAGAACACAACACTACAACGTTAGCATCTGGTTTGAGCCGTTTGACTCGGATTACAGCCTTCACCTCTCGCGAAATAGCTGGGTGCTTTAGCCAGTTCTCCATGTGCATGATTCAATGCATGCTTGGGTCGCATTTCCATTGAGGCAACATATAAGTCTCGTGGGTTTTTCTCTGAAATCGCAACTTTTGCATCTAGCGGCGAAGTGTAGGTTACGCAGTGGTTAGACACTATGGCTAGTTGTCCGGGTGCGGTGCAACGGGGAGTGAAGAAAAACCCACCGGGGCAAGCATGCGGCGTGCAACGAGCGATGGAGACGCGAGGAACCAATCCTGTCATTACTGCGCTTTGACATATTGAAAGGGTAAGGATAAAGGGTTCAGTAGAAATTGGTACGCTCGACCTCGTTAATGACTTGTCGCACCTATGATTCGAGGCATAATTAGCGAGGTGCGAAGCGACCTCATTAAGCCGAGGCACGCATGAGCTACCAAAATCGGCACAAATTGAGTGAAAACTCCCAACATTAAGGTTAAGGCTTACGGTAAAGAAAAAAGATTAAGGTGAAAGCTTACAAAA